TGTAGTGTATACTATTTTTCTTGCTGCCTGGTCGAAAGTACGGAAGAATGACATGTGTGTGTTGAAGATATTGATGCCTGCCCCGACATTTGCGGCACGAGCGAAGCGAGTGCTGCTGGTCGGGGGCAGGCATCAAATCAAATGCATCTATAAATAAAGGTATAAATACGCGGATCTCGCCTTCTCGCCGCGAGTGCTTTGTTTTGCCGAGCAGCTGATCCGACGCGACGGCAGCTACGCTCGCGACGACGAGCGCGTTGGCGTTTATCTCCGGCGCGCCAGCGTGAATCGTCCGTGCCCTCCGGCTCACTCTCGCCTCGCCTCGCGCGCGACACCCCGACGCGTAGTCGGGCACCCGGGTTTGTGGTAATATTGTGGTAGGGATCTTGTCATATATTGAGTGCCAGTGCACGCAACTAAGTTTTTACTCCCGCTATTCTAGATGGCGCGCATGTAGTTTAACCAAGGCATAAAAATGAGACTTTCTGCCGTGGAACCGGGGCCGAAAGTACGTACTTTCGACCGAGGTAGTAAGAAAAAATATTTAGAATAATTTCTGTTACATGTTGTAAAAATAGGCAGTTCGACTTAGTGTATGTAACGACAAGAGGATAATAATGAAGGATTATAATGATTTACATTTCAGATTAGTTAGTGAGAAGACTGTTGAAGAGAACATTTTGAAGAAGGCTAATCAGAAACGATTGCTAGGAGACCTCGCTATTGAAGGCGGCAATTTCACCACTGCGTACTTCAAAAGTGTAAGTGCTCGATAAGAATTTGACCTGAACGAATTATATTACTGTTTATTTCTATTAAATATTTTTTTATTTACGATACTACTTCAAGCTTAATAAAATTTATGGTATTTACTGAAAAATAATGTTTTGATTTGCGAAGTATTGTTATCGGCGTCTTTGGCAATATATTAAGTTTCTTGAAAACGAGATATTTAGTTTACTTTTTGTGTAACAATGAGGTTATTTACAGTCCACCATTCAAGACCTGTTTAACATTGATCAAACGGAGAACGATGCATCAGCGCGTATGGCTGAAGTGCTCGAGCAAAATCGGGATCGAGAGAAGGCCTGGAGCAAGGACGTGGCAGCAGGAACGTTTCAGAGTAGTCTTTCAGGACAGCATACGGAGGAAAAAGCAGCGATGGGCGCTCTTGAGAGCGCTCTCGCCGCTGCTGAGGAAGATCTTGATGTTCAGGCTGCGAAGACCGCGAAAGCAGAAGCTGTCGCTGATCTTGCCGAGTTTGATGAGAACATTCCGCTGGAAGAAGCTGATAAAGACGATACGCAGGTCAGCAAGGCGGAACAGGAAGTTCAGAATCTGATTTCTCAGGTAGGTCAAACGTTTTTCGAAATCTCGTCGATTCGCTGGGCCAGTTACATTGCCTTCCTTTTTCCTTTTTACTTTGTCTATTGTATTATTTATCTCGCATGCCGCTTGTCACGTAATCTTTAATGTTAACTCTTTGATTGATGGTTCTATAATCTTTTATCTAGCTGACTCCGATCGAACGGTACGCCATGAGGTTTGTCGAGGAGTCCGAAGGTGCGTTCTCCGCAGCACAACTGGCCGCAGCCGAACGGGAGCTCGAGGAGCAGAAAAAGGAGTGGGAGCTGGACCGGTTGCGGGCACTGCGCGAGGAGGAGGAGCGACGCATGCGGCTCGCTGACGACGACGAGAAGCCGCTGACATTTGGCCGCGAGGATGCGCAGAATCAGGTTAATAGCACTGCCGCTAAAGGCGGTTCCAGGCGATTAGTTAGTAAGAGGCTAATTGTACCGAGTAGAAGAAGTTTGCGTAGACGTGGCAGTAGTAGAAAGAGACGCGCGCGCGAATTGTCGTCGGAGAGCGAAAACGAAACTACTAGTACTGAATCGGACTCGGATTCGGAGTCACAGGAGGAAGACGTGGTCGAGGATAGTCTTGATGAAGAGTCGAGTCACACGGAGAGTCAGAGTCAAGGGGATGAGGGCGAGGAGGAGGAAGGAGAGGGTGATGAAGGAGGAGACGGAGAAAGAGAAGAGAGCGACGAGGAGGAGGAGGCCGACGAAGGAAACGAGGACAGGAGAGCGAACAATCGCGACGATTCCGAACGAGGTGGAGGTTTCTCGAGACGGAAAGGCCGCCTGGCGGGTTCTGGGTCGTGCAGCCGGAATCATTTCGATCTAAACAGTCCACGCACCAGATCTCGTGGGAATGTTCAGATCAATCTCTGGACTCTGGATGTAAGCCCGATCCTGCCCGGAGTAAAGCCGAATTTTCGACGGCAGCGCAAGAAATTTCATCGCGCAAAGTCCGAGGAAACCTTCTCCTCGTCAGTTGACTTGTGTCGTAAGAGAAGCATTCGGGTCAACGCGAATGCTAAGGTATCCACCAATTCCGACCAGAATCCAAAAACCGAGATCACCGAGACGGGAGCGACGGAGACTGACAAAAATTCGTCGAAGGACAAGAAAGATCCAAAGAAGGACGATCGCAATCTCGTTTCCTTGATCGATTCGAACGGAGTGGAGCAACATGTTACTGATTCTGACGCGGAGCAATCTGTCGATGATCAGGTAGATTCAACAACACCAGTTGCCAAAACGCAATCAAACCAAACGAAAACAGCGGAATCAACTGATAATGTAATGGACGGTCAAAATGTTAAAAAAGAGAAAGAGAGAAATGACGAGAAGATCACGAACGGTACTAATTTAATCACGGTCTGCTCCGTTCAGGTGACGCGGTGTTCGCATAAAATGCTATCTACGACCTACAAGAAGCTTGAGCCTGAAGTAAATCATAATGAGGACGCGGAGAATCTCGACGTGAATGTCAGCGCGAGGGATTCTCGGTCTCCTCCGAGCACGGTACAGCCGGATGCATCCTTGAAGTGTCCGAAAGAGACGATGGTCAAGTCTAAGTCGGAATTCGGTGCGTCAGCCAATTCTTTGTGTAACAACGTGCGAGGGAAATTGACCGCTGCCGCGCCAAAAGAGTCGGACAGGAGCGTCGAATCACCCTCGAGTCGTTCGGTTCCCCTTTTGCGTTCTAAATCGTTGCGAAACGATAGTTCTGATGCGGTTGACGCGGCTTCTAAACCGGTTGCGATATCCCGCGTTTCTACTGTGCAGAAAAATTCTAAGACTAGTGTAAATACTGACGATGCTCATAGTAACGCGGTCGAGGATAAAGACAAGAACAATTGCGATGAAGCTAATGACGACGCCGAATCAGCGATAGACTCGGTGCAAAAGTCTGATCAGAGACTCAATTCGAAAAGCGAAAATTTAAACGCTTTGCCACAAGTAGCGGAAAAAGAAACAAGTGACACAGCATCGAATGCGCTCGACTTTTTAATGCCTTTGGCAAACGAATTTAATTCAAACGAACCCAACAAATGCAAGATACGAAAAGTAGATAGCACGGTTCAGCGAGGTGTAACGACTCGCAGCTCAAAAATTCCCTCAACTGTCAATCATTTAGAAGAAAGTAACGCGCGATTGATGAACGACAAGATCGATTTAGTATCGGAGAATAAAAATAGTTCGCAAACAAAAACGGGCCAGGGAACGCGAAGAACCGACAACTCGCAGCATCCAGTTGCAGAACAGAGCAGGATCACGCGATCGGCAAGTCACTCGTGGACGCCGCCTCCACCTCCAGTTAGCGGTGACGAGACGACGACGCAAAATTCATCGAAATTAACCCCGAGACGACGACCGGATACTCCCCTTCCGCGACCGATGACGAGGTCCGTAGCGACCGTGAACTTTTCTGCGAGAGCCGACGCGGTATTGCCTGGTCGAGTCGAGAAGTGCGCGACCCGGAATTCAAAGCAGTGCCAGGACAACGGTCTGCTGGGTCCTCCGATGCCATTCAGACGTAGTAGATCGATACCACCGATGAAACCACCGGATTCGAAGGAGGGTCCGGCGAGACGCCGTCCGGACACACCCCGACCTAGCATATCGATCAGTCACAGCAATAAACAAGTATCCAGGGTAACGCGCTCGGGATTGCTCTTGAATTCCGCCCTCTCGGTGAAGTCGGCATCGTCATCATTGTCCTCTCCCGTTTCCGGGAGCGGACTTAAAACGAGCCCTAAGCACATGCGGACCCCGTCGACGAGTAGCGAAAGCGAGAACACTGCGAACACATCGCTGTCCAACGAGAAGCCTCAAAGAACGGCCAAGGTCGTGGCCATTCTCAGTCTAGACACGAGGAATAACAGCAGTAAAGCCTCATCGGGTCAATCGAAATCCAACGTCAATTGCGAGACGAAGATCCAGGATAAAGAGCTTTCCACTCGATTGTCAGACTCGCTGAAAGAACAGGAGGCCGATCACGAGGGCTGCGACTCGTCCGACGTCAAGTCCAGGAGGCTGCGTAAGGAAGCAAAGCGCGCCAGAACAGTACCGAGCTCGCTGGAAGACGAGGACGGCTCTAACGATGTTAGCGATGAGGATCCGTCGCAGAAGAGACCTCGCTCTTCGCAGATCTCCTCTTCGTCCTCCTCCTCCTCCTCCATCGCAACGACACGGTCCGAAAAGCTGAAGAGCATCACGATATCTTGAGCCACGTTGAAGTATCATTGTGGTAATCGACGACGCGAGTCATTCTATCGGGAATGCATTTGCTATTTGACCAGTCAGTCAAACATTACTGCTCTACTACTGCGTCTGCTATTCGCCTACTATACGCGTTATGCCGGGTTTATGCTTAGCATTTGTCGCGTGATACTCTTATCTCTCGATGTTTCTTTCATTAATATTCTTTCAATATGAGATCAATAAAAGTGCGCACACTCTTTAATATTTGTGCATTATTTGCATAATAACATCGAGAAGGGAAAAAGTAAAGAATTTATTTTTTTGCATATAGATCCAGATCGAGCCCGGTCAACTTGAAGCTCCGAAGCCACGACACTTTTACTTTTCCATTCACGGAGAATGGGGGAAAGGGGTTCCATTGTTGGATGAAGTTAGTCATGCCTGCTAAACTTCATCCTGCTAAACTTTCTCCAGGGGAGAAACTCCTTTCCCCCACTCTCCGTGGATGGAAAAGGAGAAGCGTCGTGGAGCTCGAAGTTGTCCAGGCCTGATTTAGATGCATCTTAAATAAATTTCGTTTCTTGTATAAAGAAAAAAAAATTGATTATAATGTATTGTAGAAAATATAAAAAATTTTTGGAAATAAGTAAAAATAAAATTAAAAAGTTAATTTAAAAAAAAGATTATTCTGCAATTAAAAAATTATTCTGCAATTAATGAGAGCTGCAAGAACAAAATATCCTGTTTTTCTTCCCTTTTTTTGTCTGAAAATTTATGATAGAACTGTAAAAGTTTCTCGCATATTTTAATTTAGATCAATTTACTGATTTTTTGTTATTATTTAGATTTTTTATTTAATTATTTATCAGCTTATTTCTCATAGAGAAATTAAAAGTAAATAAAAAGTAAGCGTGAGAAATTGTTATTTAATAATTAAGTTAATAATAAATGTTGATAGAATTCTAATGAGGGATATATGAAATAAGAAGTTTCATGTGATGAGGACTAATAAACCTGGTTTTTAGAAACGCCTGTAATTAATCGCGCGTTTGATAACGCGTCTTTTGCCCGTACTTATCCTACGTTTATCGCTCAGTGGCTATTTGATTCTTCTTTCAGAATAATCGTGTACAATTTCTATGGGAGAGAAATTTTATAAGAAACATATATGAGAAAAGTTTCAGATGAACTCTAGCATTGCACGTGAGAAAAATTCCTTATGAAGAAAGTTACATTACAAGTTTTAAATGTGACAGAAGGAAATTTTTGGAGTATAGTCTACGTGAAAACAATTAAAAGCGAAAAAAACGATGCTTTCCGCATGAGAAAAATGAGACAGAATAAAATAGACACGCTCGGCGTTAATGTAGGACATGAGTACGCATCCTCTTGTACATAATCACGATATAATTACGATAATGTATTTCTTCCGGGTTATACCGGATAATACACGTGTAATATTTGTAGCGTTGTAAATTGTACTCTGGCTCGTTGCCCCCTCATCTCATCTTTATTCGTTGTAAAGATATCAAGTGAATCCGTTTCTCCTGGCTGCACCTTCCACGATCTTGAATCTACCTTGTTCCCTTATTTTCCTATGCGAATGTGTTCCGTTTAAATTTAAAATGCACGGGAAGGTGCAGGCAGCAAGAGGCAGATTTTCAGTCACATATGCCTAGCGATTTATATAAACGGCGTGATGAGCGAAATGGACGAGTGTATTATATTAGAAATGAGAACCGAACTGATGTTGGTCAAGTGCGATTCTCTAGTGCGCCACACTAAATTATTCATACACATATATATCGACAGGAATTAAGAGCAAGAAACGTGATAAGAATAATATAAAGAGTATAGAACGAAGCGCATAGTTCGATCCCATTCTATTTTTCGCTATTTCAGTAATTCAATTTGAATTTTACTTGAGTCTGGAAAAGATTTGCTCTGATAATAATTTATTTGAAATAATGGACAGTTGCATGATTCGGTTAGTACTCGAAAAAGGTATCGAGGCAGCCAAAATGAGAAAAGGTTTTTAATCGTGCCGCTTCTTGAGCTACGTAATTCGAACAATGACTTGATTGTTATATTATATATACATATTATTATTATGTATATATAATATATATTATATATGTGTGTGTGTATATATAATATATATTATGCATATATATATTATATATATTATTGTGTATGCATAAGGATGTCGTCGCTTCGCCCTTTTCACTTGCCTCCTCCCGCCACACACACACACACACACACACACACACACACACACACGCAGTAATAATAATTAAGTTGCGTGCCTGTATTTTGTATGATCGAGCGAGAGTTCGAAGAAGAAAAAAAAATAAACGAGATATTCCTTGCTATATCGAAATGTGTACCCTTATTTCTTGATGCGTTTCCAAGTCTGTGTCGATCAAAGGTTCAGTTCCGTTTTGGTGTCAAATCATTCTCAGCTCAATGTGCTTGTTTATATTTAATCGCGATTTAACGTGAAGAAACGACTTTTTTCTTTCGATGTCAGTTTGGTGTGGCAAGGCTATCATGACCGCACATTTTTCGAGAAGATACATGTACCTTATAGTACGCGTAAAAAAAGAAAAGAGAGAGAAAAAGAGCTCCAATAAGATTGTTCCATTAAAATGGCACCAAAACACTGCCTTTGCCATTCCAAACTTGGAGTCCGCAACAAGATATGAGCAGGCACATGAGTGAGATATGTTATACGTTACTGCGTCTATTTGTGGCATTTATATGCGTTTTCTATGTGTATCTCTCATTCCGTATATGTACATAGCATACGTAAAAGTAAATAACGCAGTAATAGATGTAAAGGAATATATCGTGAAGAACTCTTTCTCAGGATATTTTTTTTAGAATGAGAGGAACGAGAACCTTTGAGCGTCTACAGGATGCCCTATCCTTTATTTTTATGATAAATCTTTTGGCAAATTTTACGTTTTCTTAGAAGAATTTTGAGATTACTACAGCTTTTTAAGATTTGACATCAAATATATCCTAAAGATTAAAACTCGACTCAATCAATAATCTCAAAAAGTGAGATTATTTTGAGTAAATATATTTGAATTTATTTCGAAACAAAATTTATAATTTAAAATCTATTATAATTGAATAACGCGAAAAATTTCGTGACTCGATATTATATAACTAAAAGTTTTTTGAATTTATAATTTATATATTTCTTTAATCTCTTTAAAAATGAACGAAAATACAGGAGAGATTAATATTGCCCTCCTTTCTCTCTTTCTTTATTTTCATTATTTGTTGGAAGCTTATTTGTCGAGTCCGTCTTTCTGTAGTCTCGAAATTATTTATTATTATATTTTTGTTATATATATTAATATTATCGTCATATCATTAATTAATGAAATTCAGTTTTTAATCTTATTCATGATTTAAAGATAAAATTTTCACGGTGTTGGTTACACGAAAGTTAAAGCTATACTGTGTAAAAACGTGTCGATAGCACATCTTAAATTTAGCGAATACAGAGACGGACTTCATATGAGAGCGAGAATTCTCTCGTGAATTGCATGATATCTCACGTATAACTTTAACATCTTGCAGATTTGGTTGTCGGAACACACGATGGAGCAAATGCCAGTAAGTACAAAATAATACGATTTTTATTCTTTAAGTACTGAACAAATTTACAAAAAATTAAAAGTGTCTATGTAATTTGCGTTATAATAATTGATATATTTTATTAATCTTTCGCTTTATTATTTATGCCGTAAAAGAATAAAAAGCAATAATTTCATATGATTTTGTGACAGATGAGGTCAGTTATTCGTTATAGAAGTGCTAAATAGATGCAGCATACATTTGAGATTGAAAAAGTATATATATCATACTTCTGGAGAAAGATAAAAATGCATCTTTTCAATTAATAATGAAATGTAGCAGAGTAGTAGAGAATTAAATTGATGATCTTGTTCTTTGAAGAATATGATTAATCAAACTTTCTTCCAGATGTGGTGCCCGCCGACTCCTCCTATAACGGATAATGATGTGTATATCGATTACTCTCTCGGATTTCTGTATGAGAATATCCCTATGACAGAGGCTCAACTGCCACCGATTTACGTAAAGAAGGAACGAAACAGGAGCAGGATCGAAATCACTGATGATGGTGAGTCAGATTGTAGATGATATAAATTATTTTTGTCTTTAATAAATTAATGGCGATCGATACACATATATTTTAAAGCCAACTAAGTCATTTGCTGTCTTATAACTTGTTATGATAGTGTTAATTGTAATTGTAATAAATATGAAGAAAATAAATCTCTACGCAAATTTTAGATTCAGATATCTTAGCTTATATTTTCAACGCTTTAATCGTAGTAATGACCAAATATTAACAACTTTTCGCTACGTATGTTTGTCTTCTTTTGCTCGATTAGCTTAAACGTTGCTCTTGTCGCAGGTTGTCGACCAGCGAAGATGATGCGGCACAAAGAGGAGTCCGTGTACGCACCAAGATCGCTCTTCGATCGGCCGTCACCAGCATTGATGAAGATGCGCCGTGAAATGAAGCTGTACAAGTATCGCGCAATCGTGCGTCCACCGATGCCGGTCTTGAAGACTTCGTCACACGTCGTCAAGACCTCACCGGAACCGGATCAAGCGATGGACTGGTCAGTCCACGAGGAATGGGGTCTGTTGCATTCCATCCAGAACTACCAGAGCTTACCGCTGAACACGATGATCCTTTCGCCCGGTCACACACCCAATTGGGACATGGTTGCCGATACCATCAACAACGGCGCGCGTTTATTCAGATCACCCAAGCATTGCAGGGGAAGATACGAATCTGTAATAATGCCTAGGGAGGAGGGCAAGCTCCTGTACGACACCACGCCGAAGAAGCAGAAGAAACAGAAGGGAAGTGTTTACAAAACGCTGCCGGTCTCCGAGGTATGTAGTTCTGGTATCGACGAGCACGATAGCACTGAAATATTGGCAATATCGCATATACATTCATAATTTCTTGCAAAAATTATCTATACTGTAATCTTGTTCTGAACATTACTTGTTTATCTGTTGTAACAAAAAAAGAGTATTAAAGTAAACCCATAATTCGTCATGGGTAGCGACTGTTTATACGCGACTTGAAGGGTTCTGTTCGGGGCCGCTTGTCATGGGTAGCGACTGTTGCGCGTCCCTAGCGGCCCCGAACAGAACCCTTCAAGTCGTGTATAAACACAGTCGCTACCCATGGCGAATATGAATGTGTGATATTATCTTTGTTTTACTTTTTTCAGCAACAAAGTAAGAGCAGCAGATCGATGAGAACATCGCAATTACACAATCAAGACAGAAACGGCTCTTTTACGACGATGGGCAGTCAGAGGTATGAAATCATGAAGTCCGTATTCAACAACCGAACGCCCACCGTGAAACAGCCCGTCATGAATCCAGCGATGAAAAATCCCACGAACGTCGCTGTCCTAGCCGAATACAAAGTACAGATCGATAATGCAATAACGCCGATTGAAGTTGCTACACGACGCGCCGATAGAATCGCTAAGGAGAAGCTCAATAAGGCAGTTAGTATAAGAGACAAAATTAAAATTCATTTTCGTCTATTAGATAAAAATAAATTTGATAGAAAATAATTATATTTAACACAATATTTAATTTATCTTGAATTTGACATTCGCATTCAAGAATATTTCACAGAATCAAAATTATAACCGTATTTATTCGTTGCTTTAATACATTCTAGGAGATGTTCGCTAACCGAGACTTACAGTCACAGGTTTTAACCCCGGAACAGCAACAACAGGTAGCGGCACGACTCCTGCAGCATCAGCAGCAGCAACAAGCCGCCCAACAGCAGCAACAGCTGAAGCTACAGCAGCAACAGACTCAGCAACAAGCTGGACAGCAAGCGAGCGCAAACTCTGTTGCATCCCAAATTCATCAGTTGTCCCAAGCGATTCCAACGGTAACCAACGCGAAAGTCGCTGCGACTAGCGTGAGTTTGAGCAACGTAGCAGCTACAACGGTAACAGCCACTACGGTGGTCAAGGCTCGACCTGGAGTTGGGCAAGTGGCAATGCAGGACGTGAGAACGACGTCGGCGAATATACAGCAGACCGCTCAACGAATCGCGACGGGCAGTTTGGTGTCCGCGGGTCAAACTTCCGTTAGCGCGGCGGGTGGCCAAAAGGGAAGTCTGGTAGGCGTCACGATGGCCACGACAACGTCGGGAAGCAAGACCCCAGCGGCAGTGCAGATGTACCTCAGGCAGCAGCACTTACTGCGGCAACAGCAGCTTAAAGCACTGCAGGCTCAAGCTGCCGGCAGTCAAAAAGTGTCTGTCGCGGTGTCGGCCACGGCGGCGGTGCAGCAGCGAGCAGCAGCGACTACCTTGATGAAGCAAGGTATCGGTGCCGTAGGTACTGCGGGCGCGGTGACAGGGCAGACCGCTGTGGGCAAACCGACAATGACTAGGACAATGTCCGACACTGAAATGACTGCGTTGCTGAAGCGGCAAACGTTACATCAACAAACAAAGGCTGCTGCTGCTGGAGTCGCGCAGGTGAGTGTTTTAATAAGGAGGCAAGATTAAAGAAAATAATACAAATATTCACAGGTATGGAAATCTAAATTGATCAAGTTTATATCACTCATATCCTGTATGTAAAAAGAGAGAAAATTAAACACAATTTTATATCGCAAGAGTAATCGGCTAGGTGACTCTGCTGCAGGTACCCACGCCAACGGGACTCGCAACGGCGCAGTTGTTTGCTCCGGCCGGTTTGCAGGTACAGCAGGCAGGCACTTCCGCGAGTGGTACTCCGGTGGCGACGCTCGTGAAGACAGCTAACGTGGGTGTTCGCACCGCGCCCCAGCAGATACGTCAGCTCGCGCTTCATCCGCAGATCATTACGCAGAGAAAACTGCCTGCGCAGAAGGTCGCGCAACTGGCTCAAGTCACAAACAAGGCTGGCGTGCAAACGCAACTCATCGTGCAACCCACAAAATCGCTACCTACAACCATGACGGTACAGCAAATTCATCAAGTAATGAAACACGTGCAACCCTCGGCAATGCAGCAATTTACCCACGTACGTAAAGGAATAAACAGAGATTCTTTTTCAAGTTTTGCGTATTGGTCCTTACGTTAAAAAATTTCTACCAAGTTGGTTCTATTAGATTCTTCAGGCATCTATTGTGGAATTACTCGCGGACTATAACGCAATAATGATTAAAATCTGAAAAAATCAATTGAACATTTTTAGAGCTAAATTTTTATACTTTATAAAAAATCGGGACATCCACGAGAACATCCACAAGAAAGATGACTGAACGAAATTAATGAATACGCAACTAATAAATGCTTAACTGTAGAGCTTATCGATGTTACTTTATATATGCAGGTTTCTACGGGACAATCGGTATCTCAGGCTAGCCAAGTCGTACTGGCTAAGTCACCGTTGCAGACTCGTGTGATACCAGTAGCGCCCGCAGCTTTGAAGCAAACCATTCAAGTGGTGACCGCCAGCAATTCTCAATTACGACAGACCACGCCTATCCAAGGGAAACCGGTTGCTGGTGCGGTGAGACAAAGTCCTAGTTCAGGTCCTAGCCCGGGTACCGCAGTTTCCGGTTCCACCGCTGCTGCAGGTAGCAGTCCTAATGTGGGTGTCACTTCCGCCTCGAATCTGGTCTCTCCATCTGTTCTTAGTCAAGTGAGATTGCAAACCTTAACGCAGCAGACACAGCAGCAGCAGCAACAGACCCAACAGGATGCTCAACCGAAATAGCTCTTTGTTAGGATTGAATGGCGATCGTTGAAATTGTATTGGAAAATTCAGAAACCAGATTGGTTTTGCAGGTTAAAAAGCGAAAATCTTGTAGATATTACCATGCGTACGGATATCTGAAGCATAAGGACTCCCTTGGGGTTGAAGCTTGGAAGAGAAAAGGAGATTGAAAGTCTATTGTAACTGATGTGATCAACCATATGACACGATGATGGCATGATATGAGCGGTTAATGACACGGAGTACGCTCTCGTTCCTATTCTAACTGAATCTTATTTTTTTAACTATAAGTTTTTTTGTTTTTACAGTCTTTCGCACAACAATCCGGCATTTTATAGAATAAAAGTTTTATTTTATTCCAGGCACTATTTTTAATTACGGAATAACCTGAAGTCGCAGTAATGCCTCAGTTAAATTGCCACGAAATATGAAAAAAGATATGGGGATCTATTACGATTTTTGAAACGAGGTAAAAATTACAAAAGTGAGGAAATTCATTAGAGTACCTATGATTTCATTGGTCGAAACCTAGCAAATTTGTTCACTTTTGTAATTTTCACCTCGTTTCAAGAACCGTAATCAACCTCCTGTGTTTACATATATCGTGTTTTATACTGCTAAATCTGATCAATCAAGTCGCGATGGATTTTTTTCCTTACTCCTCAGGCTTCACTCCCTTCCAAAGAAGTTCCTTAGTGCTGGTCTACCACCTTGCTTTAGAGGGTATTTAAGCTTTAAGCTGTAAGAAATTGACCAATCATAGTCGAGTATTTTCCTCATATTCCACTGTGATTGGTCAATTTCTTACGGCTTAGAGCTTAAATACTTTTTAAAGCAAGGTTGTAGACCAGCACTTACGCTCTGTCTGCAGATATTTGTATATCCATGGATATTACAATGTAAAGGATTAGAATCAGTTTAGAATATCTTTTCTTTTATAATATACGTAGAAAAAAATAAGTATGCAATATCAATCGCGATATGTGGTATTGATAACAAGAATTGATTTAAAGTAAAGTATTGATTCGAGTATTTTTGATCAACTATAACGATAAGAAAAGAAATATAGATTCAAATGTCTTGGATCGATAATTAATAAAGTAGAAAATATTAGTTCACCAAAAATAAAATATTCAAGTGTTTTGAGTCGATTACCAAACAAACAAAAATATTAATTTCCCAATAATGAAATGTTTGATTGTCAATAAGGTCTTCTATCATGAAAATAATTTATTTTCTATAAACATTTAGAATATCTCAGTTTCTGATTTTCCCAATTCAGCTTCAATTCGACATTGCGAGCATTCGAATATCAGTTTTTCTCTTTTAACATTATAATCCTAGTAAGTGAAAGTAAAGTTTGACATAATAATAGCGTAACACACATTAAAGCATTCCAAGCTTTGCTGCGAGTAGCCGTAAATTTGATGGTATGATTTGCATAACGTAACGCAGCAAATGGCGTTTATTTATAACCAATGGACGAATCGGTTTCAGCGTGCTAATATCGCTAAAATCGTTATTTCATTTTTGTCTGCACAAAGAACTAATAGTTCTATTTTGACAATTATGAACTCTTATGTTATATAAAAACAATGACAAAACAAATACCGAAGATCTTTAACGAAAAGCATAAGAAAATTAAAGTAAAAAAAAAAACAATTTCTTAAATTATTACAAAAACATTGAGTTATTACTGTAAATTGCAAAAACGTAGGACATATTATTTCAAATTTGTATCGTATAAACGCGTTCATAGCATCTTTAATTAAATTTATAAGAAGAATATTGTGTTAATTTAAAAATAACTTATGAAACATATTTATATTGCGAGGATAACAGGTTTTTTTTTAATTATCAAATGCTATATACGTTTTTTAAAAAGGATCCTGCGCGAATATTATATCCACGAATGATCATTTAAATAATCTTGTATAGGAACTATGGGTGGTTATCTAACTTTTTTTATGTGGAGTTTGTTTTTATGAATGAAAATTGTTGGTTAAGATTTCAATGTCGTTTATCCGGATTTAATAAATTAAATTCATTGTGATGATGCTTATGCCAATCATGTAGTGGGATCATTCAATTCATTAGTATATATTTGCTTTTCGTTCGTAAATGTTTCCAGGCTGTCGGATTAGGCGATTCTCTCCGCGTTAAGTATAAATATTACGATGTTAAATGTTAGAACTTGTTACAATATTTTTTTTGCGAGGGAGTACCCCAATACGATGCTTGGCGCACTGTACAGATGTATTCTTTCGTTTTCTTTTGTTTTTTCTTTTTTTTATGAAGAAAGGAAACGGACTGTTAGCCTCAAGAAATACGCTTAAATCGTCGACAAAACTATACAAAATAACTAATACAAGTAACGCAAATGTTCAGAAGATGTCTAAAAGGCTGCCTGAGAATAACAGTAAATTAGGATACCTCTCACATGTCTATGAGAAGCTTATCGTTTAAAAATAAGATTTATTTAAGTTCAAGTTTAAAGACTTGTAACCATTTCTATCAATGTAGATTAACTTTAATCTCGGTTTAACTTATTTTTCATCTTTTTCTATCTAATTTTCAAAACTAGAAAAGATAAATAAAGCTTCCTCTATGAGGAAACAAAAGTAAGTTAAGCCGAGATTAAAGTTAATCTGCATTGATAGAAATGGACATTAGAACGTCTTTTATACAGGTGGTCCCCTAGAGTTCATGCGTACGGAATGAAATTTTTAGAGGGATAGTAAAATAACGTACACATTCAGCGAGTAAGTCGTATATAACTCATTCATTCGTTAGATTTGAATTGTCTTTATTTAAAAACTACTGCTCGAACGTGTGTGTGTGTGTGTGTGTGTGTGTGTGTGTGTGTGTGTGTGTGTGTGTGTGTGTGTGTGTGTGTGTGTGTGCGTGCGTGCGTCGGCGTGTGCGTGCGTGCGTGCGTGCGTGTGTGTGTGTCTGTGTGTGTGTGTGTCTGTGTGTGTGTGTGTGTGTGTGTGTGTGTGTGTGTGTGTGTGTGTGTGTTTTGCCGAAGGAAAAGATTACTTCTTCTGACATAGAATCGCGCTATGCATTCCGCGTGCACAAATCCCCGGTCTAGGACACCTGGGTAACGATGAAAACAACAAGATGTTTTTTAAGCGTTTAACAAATCTAAAGTGCTTCTTCGACGTCTGAAAGAGACCTGGAAATATGATTAGGCATTTCGTCATTTAGACGTCTTTCGAATAGTTATAGGATTGCATCGCCGTATGCATCTCTGTATTTATGGTTGACCGTAGACTATAGTAAAATTACTCGGACGATTACGCGGCGTTTACACTAGGCTTGTTATAAAGTCACATGCGATACAATACAGGGTTTTCATTCCGTTTACGTACAAGGCGAGCCGTTTGAATGTGAACCTCTGAATATCTCTTCGATTAAATAAGCGTAGCGATGCGAGAGAGAAGGGAAAAAACGGCATTTCCTTTCACATAAGCGAGGGATACTACGATCAAGTATTTTCGAGCGAACGCTCACCCTGTACGCTTGGTGTCGATTAAGAGAACGTCTTACGTATATCAAACAAATTTGTAGAATCGATCTTGAATGCGTTACATGAAAAATTTACCGTTTTTTTAATAACACTTTTTTTCGATTTTCTGCGACACCCTCTTACGTATGTACGATATATATGTATATATGTATGTATAATTTGTGTATCATAAGTGCTAAAATAAATCTCGTAAAGCGATGAAACAACCGATAAGGATTTATTTCTCTTTTAAGCAAAATTTTATAAATATCAACTTATTAATTAAAATGTGTAGTCTTATCAAGTTTCAGATACGTGATTTCAGCTGTAGCATTTAAAATGTTGCTGTAATGAATAATTTGTCATAAATTTTTTATCATGAATATTTTTGTTTATTTTAAGGCTCCTATAGAGAACATTCGTGTTGTCGAATCGTTTTGGATCGCTTTTCTAAGTTCACAATTTTGCCAAATGTGACGCAGTGTGTACTGTCAACGCGGAAATCAATTTGGTAATCGAACCAGCAGGAACCTTGACACTTGTTTTAAAAGAAATATTCCCTGCGCTTCGTTGCACTTTACGAATATGTCACTGCCAATAAAGACAGTAATTCTAATGAATAGAAAGAATTAACAAAAGAAAAAGATTCGACTCTCGATAATGAAATCAACAAAGTGGAGTTATTGAAAGTACAATGCGGTTGTTGGTATGTGAATTGATTGAATACTATTATCGGAATCAAGAGACACGGTAGTGTCTCGTGCCAAGTACACGCGGAGCGAGACCGACCGTGACTCTTTTACGCGACGCGACGGGTTGCGAGTACCCGAGATGTTGAGATCTCGATGAGGCCGGTAAAATTAGGTTTGAAAATGGCAAAACGGATTGACAAGCCAATTTTTTGAGGGTGAGTAGAGGGTCATAAAAGATGCCCAAATTCACAAAGTTCCAACAAAATTTTCCTGTGCGTCGGCGGCCATCTTGAAAATAGGGGTGAATATTTAAAGTTTGAATAACTCGGCTTCTATTGGTCAAATTTTGTTATTTTTTTTAGTTTTGTAGGGAAAAATATTTGCTACAACTTTTGTTGGAAAAAATTTTTAATAGCTGTCAAGGAAAAAAAGTTAAAACCAAAAAAGTGCCGTTAATTAGGAGTTGAACAATTTTATTGACACTTATATCGCCCCCTGTTAATTTGATAAAAAAAAATGTTTCAATAAAACTTGTAGAGGATTCAATTCTCTACAATTTTCGTATATATTTTTTTGCGGTGGCTCAAAAAACACTAGAGATAGAGAGCGCCAAAGTTGAGTGTATCTATAGTAAATGCTCTTTTTCGTAGGGAAAATTTGTGGTTTTATTGTGAATTGTTCTATATTATAAAACTCTTCCGCGAACTGTACAGTGTGTTATTGTGTGTGTGTTGTTTGTGTGTGTTATTGTGTGTTATTGTGTATTATTTTCGGTCAGTCGTGATCTGTATTTCGAGCGTTTCAGAGTAAAATTTCTCGAAAATGAGCGAGTATTTTATTTGTAGTCCATATGCCAGGTCGATTGAGCATTTTTATCGAGGTTTATGGCTTAAGTTAATGTTTTTTTATGTTTTTTGGGTCGTAGAACAGGAATCTGTAAATAGTTGTTTCGTAAGTCAATGCAATAAAAAGTTATTAACAATTTATTTGTTTAAATTGCCCTAGCAATCAAACTATACATCCTATAAAAAAATAAACTAGAGAAAATTTGTTCCTCTCTTTTCACGACGAACAAAATAGTGTTTGAATTTTTCCAAAATCTTGATTATTGACGGAAATGTGTCAATTTTTATGTAATTACTGCCTACGCGTCACGGAGTACCCTAGGCGTGCGCGCTCGCGCTTAATTGTAATAAAAGGAGCAAAAAAGCAAATTAAATTAAAATTAAAGGAGCAAAACTCGTGTGGTACAATTGAGCGCGAGCGCGCACGCCTAGGGTACTCCGCGACGCATAAGCAGTAATTACCTAAAAATTGACACATTTCCGTCAATAATCAAGATTTTGGAAAAATTCAAACACTATTTTGTTCGTCGTGAAAAGAGAGGAACAAATTTTCTCTAGTTTATTTTTTTATAGGATGTATAGTTTGATTGCTAGGGCAATTTAAACAAATAAATTGTTAATAACTTTTTATTGCATCGACTTACAAAAAAAAACTATTTACAGATTCCTGTTTTTTGACCCAAAAAACAAAAAAAAAACATTAACTTAAGCCATCAACCTCGATAAAAATGCTTAATCGACCTGGCATATGGACTACAAATAAAATACTCGCTCATTTTCGAGAAATTTTACTCTGAAACGCTCGAAATACAGATCACGACTAACCGAAAATAATACACAATAACACACACAAACAACACACACACAATAACACACTGTACAGTTCGCGGAAAAGAGTTTTATAATATACGACAATTCACAATAAAACCACAAATTTTCCCTACGAAAAAGAGCATTTACTATAGATACACTCAACTTTGGCGCTCTCTATCTCTAGTGTTTTTTGAGCCACCGCAAAAAAATATATACGAAAATTGTAGAGAATTGAATCCTCTACAAGTTTTATTGAAACATTTTTTTTTATCAAATTAACAGGGGGCGATATAAGTGTCAATAAAATTGTTCAACTCCTAATTAACGGCACTTTTTTGGTTTTAACTTTTTTTCCTTGACAGCTATTAAAAATTTTTTCCAACAAAAGTTGTAGCAAATATTTTTCCCTACAAAACTAAAAAAAATAACAAAATTTGACCAATAGAAGCCGAGTTATTCAAACTTTAAATATTCACCCCTATTTTCAAGATGGCCGCCGACGCACAGGAAAATTTTGTTGGAACTTTGTGAATTTGGGCATCTTTTATGACCCTCTACTCACCCTCAAAAAATTGGCTTGTCAATCCGTTTTGTAGATATTCAGTGTTTTTCGAGCTAATTTTACTGGCCTAGATAACGAGTAAATGGATCAAGTTCTAAGTAGGCTTGATCGATAGTTTGGGGTCCAATTAGGGGGGTTTCTCTCATAATATTCCGCTACTTGCTTTACGAGCGGAGATATTGCGACGCAAAGTCGAAATGTGAAAAATTTTATTTAAGATACTTCTTCTCCTAACCCGACGTCTCAATATTATTATGATTATTAGAGAAATGTCACTTTCACTTTTTCGACGCTGGCGGCGCAGGTATCGCCAGTTTCGATATCGCGCGCGTATTTCGAAATTAGGTCGATAGACTTATCGGTCAAGAGGAAGATTTCTATTTAGGTAAATTAGGTATATATGTTACAAGCGTCTTAGTCAAAGCCCGAAATAAGTTTTGCGTTTCGGCTTTTGACTAGTCAATCCTAGGAATAAGGGTGCTGTCCCATGGACGTCGGAATTATCGGAAAACGGAATCGAAAAGGTGGGATGGTGGGGAGCTAACCAATCAGAATGATTCCGTTGCGTGTCTTCACATCTGGGTTCCCCATGGCGATCATTTTTCGGAACGGAATTCATGCATGTGCATGTGCATGTACGTAATTCAAATATCGGCGGTCACTGGTGGTTAAAGAGTGGTGATAAGTTGTATTTATATATTTATTTTGATCGGAAAAAGGGGAATATGATGTCATCTGCTATAAGTATTGTAATTATGAGATATGTATGTTAAGTTATTATGTTATATTAGGTTATAATGTTGATATATATTGACGGTCTAGCATACATTTCTAGCCCAACGTACATATACAATATGCTTATAGTGGTTTCAATTTGTTAAAGACAATATATAATAAAAATACATTATATTTTGTAATGTCATTTATTTATTATTAGACAGCAAAATGTGGTTACTGCGGATGGTTGCTGAAAATGGATAATATTTTGAAACATTCTTGTTTTGGTCTTTTTGACGCTGCATGTCAGGTTTTTAGCGTGGATGAGGCTGGAAAAATTGTTATGACAGGTATGAAACATTTTGTATGTAGTATTTATGTAGTATTATATATAGTATTTTTACGCAATGTACGAAACAGTACGAAATTTTCGTTACGATCAATAAGTGAGTTTTCATTCTTATTGTTTAGATATCAATTTGATGGAGACAACAGGGGATGAAAGCCTAAATGATGTAACAGAGAATGAAAATAATGCTTCAGAACCACAAGAAGTAGATGAAGAGCTGATAAGTATAGTTCAACAACGACCAGCCTTGTATGATCCTCGTCTACCACTTCAAGAAAGAACTAAGTTAAAGCAAAAAGATCTATGGCAGGAAGTCAGCAATTGTCTAGGAGGTAAACTTATGATTCAACATTATCATTACATTCTTTTTATAAACATGTTTTTTAAATTAATATTTTAGGAGCATATTCACCTATTGACGCCGAAAAAAAATGGCAATATTTAAGAGATTGTTATACAAAAGCTAGGAGGAATTTTAAGAAAATACAGAGCATTGAAAAAAGAAGTGGTGCTGCAGGTACTTCTATAAATAAAAGAAATAAACCATCTTTTCGCTATTACGATGCAATGAATTTTCTTAATGATACATTAGAATATAAAGAGTAAGTTATATTGAAGTTATATCGTGTTAAATGACATGTTGAATAACAACTAAATTTATTTTTAATTTTTTTCGGAACATGTACATCTTTAAGATTTCCAAACAGGAAAGACACAGCTCAAGTAACAAATAACCTTTTTGCTTCTTTACCTTCCTTTTCAAATTCACCTATGAATAACAGCAACGATTGC